AGTATTATATATATATATATATATATATATATATATATATATAATCTTTTTAGTAAGTGATTGATGTTATTTAAAAATTATTTATTTTAATTTTAAATTTTTATGATTTAATTATTATTAGCTTTTCATTAAATTCACGAACTCCAGTTTGGGAAACCTTGATGATATATAATGTTTAATGCACTTCATGTTGTTAATTACAACAAATGGAACATATTTTATTTCTCTTTGTATTTTTACATCATTATGTTACAAGATTATCCCATGTAAATCAAACGAGTTAGGTCAGAAGTAATCTAAAAGTAGTCTGAATAAATTACCTAAAATGTGTAATGTAATGGATTACATTATTAACGTAATTTGGAATCAGTAACGGACTGCAATTTGTAAGTATATCTACCCAGCTCTGTATAAACATACACTACCGGTCAAAAGTTTGGGATCATTAAGACTTGTAATGTTTTTAAAGAAGTCTCTTCTGCTCATCAAGGCTGCATTTATTTGATCAAAAATACAGGAAAAAAACAGTAATCTTGCAAAATGTTATTACAATATAAAATAATGGTTTCTATTTTAATATCCTTTAAAATATAATTTATTTCTGTGATCAAAGCTGAATTTCCATCATCATTACTCCAGTATAAAGTGTCACATGATCTTCAGAAATCATTCTAATATGCTGATTTATTATTAGAATTATCAACAGTTGTGCTGACAAATATTTTTTTGGAAACTGATACTTTTTTCAGGATTCTTTGATGAATAAAAAGTTAAAAAGAACAGAATTTATTCAAAATATAAGGAAACTGAAACTTTTTTCAGGATTCTTTGATGAATAAAAAGTTAAAAAGAACAGAATTTATTCAAAATATAAATCGTTTCTAACAATATAAATCTTTGCTGTCACTTCTTAACAATTTAACAAATCCTTGCTGAATAAACGTTTTAATTTTAGAGAACACACCCATCACCATCGACAAGACACCTGTGGAGCGGGTAAACAGCTTTAAGTTCCTCGTGACTTTGACTTTAATTTCTTTAAAAAAAAAGAAAGAATATAAATGTACTGACCACAAACTTTTGAACTGTAGTGTGTATTTTTAGAAAAGATTTCTATTTTAAATAAATGCTCTTCTTTTTAACTTTTTATTCATCAAAGAATCCTGAAAAAAAGTGTAAAAACATTAAAAATCGCTCTGATCCCAAACTTTTGACTGGTAGTGTGTATATACAGTATATATATATATATATATATATAATGGAGAGCTTGAAAACATGACTCGTAAACTGAAGTCAAAAGGTCACGTGTATGGACTCGTGTACTGAAATCAGTGTGATGAGATAAAGAGATGGTGTTGTAGTAATGGATGGTACTCACTGTTACTTACTTGAAAGGCTTCTCCCCGGTGTGCGTGCGGATGTGGTTGTTGAGGGTGGTGGCTCCGGCGAAGGCTCGGCCGCAGTAGCCGCACTTGAAGGGCCGGTCGCTGGAGTGCGTGACCACGTGATTGCGCAGCTCCGACGGCTGCGAGAACGACTGCGAGCAGTGTCCGCACTGATACGGCCTGAAACACAGAGCACACCGATGCGTTACCATGGCAACCAGAGTGACCCTCATCAGCAGCGGAGCCAGGAACACAGTCCAGAGCATCGGTCAATATCTGCAGCGCTCACCGCCGTCTGAGAGCCCGTGTTTACCGCGGTAACCATCCTAAGTCAATTATTAGTCAAGTGGCAGTTAAAGGGGTGGTTGATTGCTTTTTTAACGTTAGTTAGTGTGTAATGTTGCTGTTTGAGCATAAACAATATCTGCAAAGTTACGAAGCTGAAAGTTCAATGCAAACGGAGATATCGTCTTTTAAAATTCTGGCAGTTTAATGCCTACAAAAACGGCTGGTAGGAACTACAACGAGCTACTTCCTGGGTTCGTGACATCACAAACCCTGATAAACCCCGCCCTCGGGAACACGCAGCAAAGGGGGCGGGGCCATGCTGCACTGCTTTAGAGAAGAGGAAGAGAAAACTAGAGGTGCACGTAAAAATCTGTTCATATATGAATCGCTGTTCTGTCTTCTAACGATTTTAATGGATTCACACGTTTCAAAATCAATGTTCTAAAGCAACAATTAAACATGGACGCGCATGCGGTTGCTGTACTGTATATTATACTATAATATAATATAATATACTATATACTGTATAATATACTATAAAACCGTATATTAAAGCAGTAAAAGCAGTAGCATTTACAAATAACAGCGTATCTAAAAGTTTCTCAATCAAGCTCAAACTGATAAGCGATATTAACGACGCCGTTGTTTACAATACAGCCGGAGCACATGCCGCTGAGGAGAAGGGCGGAACGTTTAGACGAGCGCTAGAGGCGGTTTAGCCAATCACAACACACTGGGCTAGCTAACCAATCAGAGCCCATCACCTATTTACGAGGGCGGGGCTTCATAAAAGCAGGAAATGATCAGCGTGTTTCTCAGAGAAGGGACACAGACTGCACCCCATAAACACAGTCAAGCCTAGAAAAATCCCAGTGAACCATCTCTTTAATGCTAATGAATCAGAAACCATCAGACGAGCTGATGATTCAAGCTTTCCGTCAGCCTCATTCTTTACTGCCTGAAGGAGAAAAAACTATTAAATAACTATAATATTAAACAACTTTCTCAGCTAGTTGCCAAGGCAACATTTCTCATTTTCGCTTAGTTTAACTTGAAGTACTACAATATCTAAAACTATTATACTGTAGAATATGCTGTTATAAAATTATATATATATATAAATAAAATTATAAAAAATATAAAATTGTTTTTGACAAAGAAAAACATTAATGACATATATATATATAGTTCCACCTCACTGCATTATTTCTTATGACTATCACTCAACTGCACGGTGTTCGTGAGTGTTTTGAAAGGCGCCTTAAAATAAAATGTATTATATATATATATATATATATATAATTTTATTTTATAAGTTATATATATACATACACAGTATAAAAACAGTATTTAAAAAAGAAAAAACATTTAGTGCATGTGTGCATGCTGTATATATGTTTAAAATGATAATAAAATTATATATATATATGAAATAATGCGGTGAGGTGGAAAACTATGATTTTTTTGAAAGGTTAGCAGTAACGGTTTCAAATTAAATGTGAAAACTGTTTTTGAAAAAGAAAAAAAACAATAATAAATGATTATAAATGTGTATATATGAAGTGTTCCAGCACAGATGTGAGTGTTTCCTGATGAAGCTGAGCGAGTGACTGAAGTTTTTCTGTCTGCAGACGCAGAGCTGCTGAATATCTTCAGATGAATGTGTGCGGCGCTTTAACTACAGCAGCACACCTGATTAATGTCTGCTTATTGTTTATTGCTGCAATAATACGGAGCGGGACGGACATAAATAACCCTGTGGACCTCCAACACACACGCCACGAGCCGCACGTCCAAAACCTGACGGTACAAACTGAGATTTAACACATTTTTTGTCTCGTTGGCCACTAAAGCAGAAGAGTGGCTGCTCTAATGTCTTATTTGAGTCTTACAGCAGGAGCATGTTTATTTGTGCTCGATATGGTAATGAATGGCTCTTTACTCGTTAATGAAACGTGTCATCGCTGAGATTGATGTGAGCAAACAAAAACAAGAAAAACACCTCGAGTCCAGAGCAGCACATCAGCAGAACACAGCAGCGCAATGATGCCGTGATTTATCCTCTCTCAAATGTACATATAAGCTAAACATCAATAAATATGTATAAGCCAAAGGCCATAAAGCATCGGCGAGATCATATTAAACAGATTCCCCGAGTCACGCGGCGTCTCAGATTGCCTCGTTCAGCTAAATTTTATCTGCACCTCAGGGTCATAAAGTTGAGTATCGACAAAGCCTCACATCGACTTCATCCCGCAAACATTTTTCTTCTGTATGAATATTCGTTTATTGAATAAGTGGCATCTGTTTTCCTCTGCATCACCTCTGGACTGGGGATTTCTTTGTGACGCAGCAGCTGATTTATAGGACTGAACGCAGCCCAGAAAATAGAGCTAAGCAAAAATTTTCCAATACATGCTCGGCTGTGTTTAATTAGGTTTAGAGATGTTACACTCCGCGACTGCACCGGAAAACATCTTGCTTTGAGAAAATCAGCTCTTATGGAGAAACATCTTCATCAGACGTGAAGAGCTCAGAGCAGAAACTTGAACTGATCTTCTGTTTTACAGCTGAAATTGAATTTTGAATTAAGAATCAAATTTGTTTTATAACTGATGAATTTCGCAACATCGACAAAGTTATTGAAAAGAATTATGAGAGTTTTGTCTTCTTTAAAGAAGCTTTACACTTAAGAACAGGGTTTTTACAGTTAACTGAAAGTATAATGAACACTAAAATTAAAACCATTTTTAAAAATGCTACTTGAAATAAAATAAACCAACTAAAATCAAATATTAAAAAATTGAACTAAAATAACTAAAAATACAAATTTTGTAAAAATAACAAAAACTAATAAAAGTGACAATGAAACGAAATTTTAAATTAAAAGAAAATCTAGAAATAAAACGGATTCAAAATATTAACAAAAACTATAATATCTCCTTGATTCTAAAATAACACTGGTTAAGAATTAAATTTCAAATTAAGAATCAAAGAGTTGAATTTGTGTCAAAATTGACTGTTATTGAACTGAATCTGAAATGAACTGAATTATGACACTTTTGTCTTGCTTTATAGATAAGAACAGGGCAATTATAGTTATCTAAAACTAAAACTATAATTAAAACCATTGAAAAGAGTGTTACTTGAAATAAAATAAATGTTCACTGAAATAAAATCAAATGTAGAAAATGTTTTACTTCAGCTGGTTGCCAAGACTGAATTTTTATTTTAATTTGATGTACTAAAATAACTAAAACTGTAATAAAATTAATTAAAACTATAGACATATATCTTTTATGTCTGGTAAAAAAAAAAAGATTGTTTAATAAATAAATAAATACAAACAAATAATAAAAATGATAAAAACTTTAACTAAAATGAAAAAATATCAAAATAAAGATAGATAAGTTTTCAAAATATTAATAAAACTGTAATAGTATCAATGATACAAAATTAACACCAGTTAAAAATCAAATTTCAAACTAAGAATCGAATAGTGTAATTTGTTTCATAATGTATGAGCTGCGCAACACTGACACTGTTACTGAACTGAATTGAGCTGAATTATGACACTTTTATCTTCTGTAGAGCTGCTTTATAGTTGACAACTGAATTTCAGAATCGAATAACTGAATTTATTTTATAATTGATGAATTTTTCAACATTGACTGTTATTGAACTGAATTGAATCAACGTGGAATTCAACTGAATGACAACAATTTTGTCCTCTGCAGAGCTGCTTATAGTTTGAATCAAGTTTCTAATTAAGAATCGAAGAACTGAATTTGTTTTATAATTCATGAATTTTGCCAAATTAGCTTCTTGAACTGAACTGAATCAACATTGAACTGAATTATGACACTACATTAAAAATTATAACTGAACTAGATAAAAAAGTTTGTCAAGACAAACTTTAGGTTAGCTTGAGAAAGCCTAGCCTGAAAGTTTAAAGCAGTTGTAAAAGCCTGAAGTTTGAAAATGTAGATTGATTACAATCTAGAATAGAATTCTATTACTAGAATATTGCTGGCATGATTAGCAAGTTACTAACATGACGCTAGCATGTTTCTAGCATGATTAACATGTTACTAGCATGCTGCTAGCAAGATTAGCATATGATTAGCATGTTGTTAGCATGATTAGCAAGTTAATAGCATGTCGCTAGCATGTTTCTAGCATGATTAGCATGCTACTAATATGTTGCTAGCATGATTAGCAAGTTACTAGCATGTCGTTAGCATGTTTATAGCATGATTAGCATGCTACTAACATGTTGCTAGCATGATTAGCAAGTTACTAGCATGTCGTTAGCATGTTTATAGCATGATTAGCATGCTACTAACATGTTGCTAGCATGATTA